GACCACATGACCTTCTCCCATGCCTCCTCTGGATCATCCAGATGGTCTTTGGCAAACTTCAAACAGGCCTGGACATGTGCTGTCTTGAGCAGAGGGACTTTGCGTGCGCTGCAGGATTTTAAGCCATGACGGTGTAGTGTGTTACTAATGGTAACCGTGGAGACTGCGGTCCCTCTTCAGGTCATTGACCAGGTCCTCCCGTGTAGTTCTAGGCTGATCCCTCACCTTTCTCAGGATCATTGATACTCCACGAGGCGAGATATTGCATGGAGCCCCAGTCCAAGGGAAGTTGACAGTCATCTTGAATTTCTTCCATTTTCTAATAATTGCACCAACAGTTGTTGCCTTCTCACCAAGCTGTTTGCCAATTGTCCTGTAGCCCATCCCAGCCTTGTGCAGGTCTACAATTTTGTCCCTAGTGTCCTTAGACAACTCTTTGGTCTTGCCCATAGTGGAGAAGTTGGAGTCTGATAGATTGAGTGTGTGGACAGGTGTCTTTTATACAGGTAACGAGTTCAAACAGGTGTAATTAATACAGGCAATGAGTGGAGGATAGGAGGGCTTCTTAAAGACAAACTAACAGGTCTGTGAGAGCCAGAATTCTTGCTGGTTGGTAGGTGATCAAATACTTATTTCATGCAATAAAATGGAAATAAATTATTTAAAAATCTAACAATGTGATTTACTGGAATTTTTTTGTAGATTCTGTCTCTCACAGTTGAGGTGTACCTACAATGAAAATTACAGAACTGTCCAATCTCTAAGTGGGAAAACTTGAAAAATCGGCGGAGTATCAAATACTAATATGCCCCACTGTACAATATCTACAGTGCCTCTAAAGAGAACTTTGACACTTTTCATAATCTTAATTATGTTTATTATTGTAATCATGACTCAAATGCGACAACATGCACAGACTGCTAAGTGAAAACACTTCCATTACTGAACTTAGTGCGCTGTATAGAGAACAGATGTTACTCAGGAGGACAGGCTCGGGCTTGCCAGCTGGGGGAACTGATGAACTGGCTCTGTGAGCACAGATAAATGATAGGATGGGGGCACACAGGTGAGGATCCATAAGACGTGAAGCGCTCGGGTTAACAGGTGAGCGGTACAACACAGAATTTAGTGTGATGACAGGTACATAGGTTAACGTGACACAGATGTGGGATAATTACAGGCTGGCAAGTGAGGGCACACGAGGGCTAACAGGGCAAGAAGTGGGACCGGAAGTGGGAGTGACACACACAGGTGAGAATAAAGCTGCCACGATCTGGCCCCAGTGATCTAGAGATGGTGACAAATTAAAAAAGAAACCTCAATGAATGAGTGCTCTCTTCCAGGATGGCAATGCCCCCATCCATAAGGCACAAGGGATCACTGAGGATGTTTTACATTAGTAATGAGTGTTTCATACTGTTCCTGAGCACGGTTGCTCACCCCTCTCGCAGGTCTGCCTTCACATTAGCAACATCATTCCGTGCCCCAGCATACTGGCATATGTACACAGTCTGATACAGTAGGTGACAGTATGTACATAGTTGGTTTGCAATCCGCCAAGAAGAAGAACAAGCAAGAAACAACCATGTGTCATAAACTGGGCGACATTTGTTTCTGTTTCACACAAATGTAAATACTGATGAATACTTCCATAAATCTTAGAGTGTTTGTGTGTAGTACCCAGTTGTCTGTGTTTCCATCAGCTGAAATTTCAAGCAAGCATTTTACTTCTTTGTTACTCCACAGCGATCCTTTTTGTGCAATTTAAAGGAAAGGCAAGGTGAACTGGATCAGGTCCACCCTGTATAGTCACTATTCTTCAACAAGTGTCCATATGCACATGTCTTCTGTCTTCATTAGGCTTTTCTCACAATGCGGCCACTCTTCCTCGGGTCCCTCCTGACCGACTGGCTGCTTTCCCTCCAAGCTGCCTGACACACCCGGGTTCTGAGGAAGAAGTACAGATGACTCAATAAAGAAACCAAAACCTGAATGATTTCACTAGAAAGACATACCTACCACACACCATATCACTTCACCTTATAAGTAATTTTCCTGACAGTCTGCCAAGGAAGCACATAGCTCAGGGGCGGCTGTGGCTCAGGAGGTAGAGCGGGTCGTTTCCTAACCGGAGGATTAGTGGTTCGATTCCCGGCTTGTCCAGTCAATGTGTTGAAGTGTCCTTGATCAAGACACTGAACCCCCAGTTGCTCCCAGTGATGTTGTGAATGTGTGTGTGTTTGGGAGTGTGAATGGCCAAATAATGTGAAAGCGCTTTGAGTGTGCTGTAAAGCATAGAAAGGCGCTATACAAATATAAGACCATTTACCAAGACCATAACTTCTCTCCAATTTATTTACAGAAATCCAGAGAATATGCAAGAAATGTTTCTGTCTGGTTCACTTTTCCTGTCATGTCCACATGCTTTTCTGTCCTTCTGCCCTGGGGCTGTTTTTCATGGGTGGTTCAGGACCTTATGTAATCTGGACTCAGTGTATAAGGATGTGCTTCTAACACTGTGACAACATTTTGATGAAGGCCGTTTCCTGCTTCAGTGGGAGAATTTCCCAACCCATAAAGCTGTATTTACAAAGAAATTCTTTTCCTGGTTTGGTGTGGAAGAACTTGACTGACCTGTGGACAGTGTTTCTCACATGTGTGATCACGTCGAACTGGAGAATTAACCTTCAAAACTTTTGAAAGGAACTCGTATTGTGTCTGATTTTAAATTCGGTTAATACAAACTTTCAATTCTTAGATAAAATATTATAAATTCAAAGTTTACTCATCTTAACAGGTGATTTTATCACACCTTGGTAAGTTTCACTGAACTAAAAAAGATCATGAGATATGGTCAAAAGCTGTAGAAAAAGCTTTGCATATTTTATCACAAGTATGTGTTGGGGTCACAAGCCATCCTCCATGCTCAGATATTTATTTAGCTAATAGAAATTAAATTAAAATTTGTTAAATTACGTTTTGTTTTGAACATTTTAATGTTTAAAGGGTAAGAAATCGTTATTGTTAGCAATAGAACCGGAGTGACACCACCCCCAACAATATAAATTCATTCATAATAAATGTCATAGTTCTCTGTTGAGCTAATCTTGTCATTATTGGCCATCAGCATCTGTCAGCACTGACTCCATTTTTCATGCATTTTCCTTTTCATTTAAAGCCAAAGCTAAAGCCGCACGAACTCATGCACACGTTGGTCTTTCAGTAGTTGTGAGGCCACTCATCCCGCTGACATAATGCCTTAAACCCTTTAACCAGACAACTAGACGCCTAAACAAAATGTCCTCACACTGCAGAAACGACGTCGAACTACGCAAACGGACCAACATATGTACACACTCACTCACACACACCTTGAGCCAAGTAGAAGTCCAGCAGCCGGTTTGCGGGGCTTCGCGCTCTGTCTCCGGTACTGCATCCAGCCGCAGACCAGCTCGTGCGCGATCATCATGTACAGCAGGAAGATGAGCACTGCGGGATCCATTCAGGCACACGCGCCGCTGGATGAGAGCCGGCAGGTGCAAATAAAACCGCTCCAGATGTGGACGGCGCTGCAGAGGACCCAGAATGGCGCACGGTTGATGATGATGATGATGATGGTGATGATGAGAAGGACGTAGGGATCCTCGTTTCCAAGTTTCCCTGTGTCCACTCCAACTTTAGGCGCTCAAGTCGCGAGACACCACCTGCTGCGCTCGCACTTCACCCATAACAACACACCATCCTTCAGAATCATCAGTTCATCCGAGTGAAACGGTGTTTTTTCGCCCCTCTGTCACCGGCAACAGATGAAAGTCACGGTAACATCAGCAGAGAGACGGCATCGGAGGATGTTGCCGTAGAGACGCGACCGTTGCTAGGGGCAGAATTTCATCATCCCCTCAAGATGAGGCATTTAACCAATTCAGAGCCATGCAGAGGGCTACCTAAAGAGAGCACGCACGACTGTGGCACGTTTGCTTTACCATTCATCCTGTGACACAGGAGGCGCACTAACAGCTCGTTTTTAACAGTATATTTTAAATTATAGATATTTTATTTATTATAAACCATGCATTACATTTGTCTCATTTTATCCCAAATTATCTATAATGAACCAAAACATATTTAAATTGAGAGGATGTAACCTGAAATATTTTCTATTTTTAATGAATTGATTAATTAATTAAAGGCCAGTGCCTTAAAGTTCTCATTACTATATTTTTACTGGCATTTTATTTTGTTGTTAATTTGAGCAAAGCATTTGAAATTTTGTTCAACTATCTACAACTATCACAAAACTAACTATGACAAAACTGAATATGGTAAACTGGTAAACTCATGTCTTTCAAACTCCATGCCCCCAGTTCAGACTTTCTGATGTAATGGTGATACCCAGGTGATGAATTATATTATCAGCTTTGACCAAGCTGCTCCAGAGCCGCACAAGACATTATTGGTACTGGATTCACAGGCTGAGTGTTACACACAACAATTAGTAAATAGAAGTGGATGGAAAATGGAAGTGCCCCTTTAAGCCATACAGAAAGGAGCCTGACCTGCTTATTTTTCCTTTAACTAAATCAGGGGTGGGCAAACATTTTGACTCGCGGGCCACAATGGGTTCTAAAATTTGACAGAGGGGCCGGGCCGGGAGCAGAAGGATGGAGTGTTTGTGTGAACTAATATAAATGACATATAAAAGCCATTACATAAAAGGTTTTGGCCTTTAACAGGTAGCAAAGCATGACTATGCAAGGCTTATTTTTCATAGCACAATAAAGAATTAAACCTTCAGTTTCAGTGGGAACAGTGTTGTTGGTCTGTTGTTGTTGGTCAAAGTCTGGAGTTATTTTTGTTGTGGCTGTTCTCAGGATAGATCTGAGGTGTTGGTCAGTTAAAATGGATCTGTGACTGGCTTTTGTTGATGTTCATGACACTGAACGTCTGCTCACACACATAGGTCGAGCCAAACAACGCCAGTATCTTCTGTGCCATCCTCTGAAGGTTTGAAAACGTGGCTTCGTTAAGTGAAGCATAAAAGTCATTCAGTTTAAGAGAGTTGAACTTCTCCTTTAAAATGGGGTCAGACTGAAGATCGATTAGTTCCAATTGCAGCTCCTGTTGTGCTGTTTCAGGGTCTTGTGACAGAGGGCACCAGCTGAAGGGACTTGTCAATTTTTTAAAAAAAATCAGAGAATCGACAGCAGAATTCTTTGTCCAGTGATTTGCTGTATTTCTTCGCGTTTCGGGTGGCCTCTTTCTGCATGGCTAGTGTGGGAAAATGAGCGAAAGATTTGTTTGAAATTTGTCTGGAGAATAAAGTCAGCTTGGATTTCAAGGCTCTCACGTTTGTGTACATGTCGTGCACAAACTGTAACTTCACGTTCAGCTCATTCATGTGTGAAAAAATGTCCACAGCAAACGCAAAGTCACAAAGCCAGTTCTTGTTGCTCAGCTCAGGAAATTTGTCAGATTTCCCCATTAACTCCAAAAATGCACTAAGCTCCTCTTTGAGCTCAAACACTCGTTGAAACACCAGTGGACACGAGAGTGGTAAAGTAAGTCCTGGTGAGCCGCATCGGTTTCCTCCAGGAACGTAATAAACTGATGGTGCTGAAGTCCCCCATTCTCAACATGATTAAGCTGCAATACAGACTAGTGTTCTGCCGCAGCAGACAAATTGGAATTTGAATGAATCTGAAACAAGCAAAGCACTTTCAAAAGCAATTGACTATGGAAGCTTGAACAACCATCAACGCAGCCCCTTCCTCATTGTATATAACAATCCACTATTCTTCACATGGAGCTGTCAGTAACTGACTAGATGAACAGGACTCAGTCGTACTGGATTTGGCCTGAAACTGGTGGAACCTCTTTACAGGCCCACAATGGATCCTAAATCTGCTTGCAACCATTTAAGCCATTCACAGGTTGTGCCCAGCAATCTCCATTCATGACACATTAGCGTTCTTCTGATTTACATCATCAATCCCAAGGCAGAGTTGCGATCCTTAAGGGCTTCACTAGATCTGAGGCAGTGACACTGATTAGGCCTTCATCAGTATGTGGGCTGTGTTTGTGTGCGTGTACGAGTGTGTGTGTCAGGAGGAAACAAGCAGTTCTTCTGCTGTGATATCGCCTTGATCTGACAAACCACCTTTAGCTGACAGGACCACCACCTCCCCTGCCCTACGCCACTTCTAAGTCTCTGAGGTGGGCAGAGACCTGCAGAAACACAAGAAGAAGAGTCTAACCATCAGCACTTTAATATGGGCATTGGTCTAAGAAGGATAATAATGTGAAACCTGTTAGTGAGCAGTAATATTTTTATTTACCAGTCCTCTTAAACAACCTGCATAAACATATTTGAGAGGTAAAAAACAAAAATGAGTGCTAGGAATAATTCATATTAAGCCTCATAAATTATTTTAATATCATGTTAACTCTAAAAATGTACTGTAAGTAAAATTAAAGCTTTAAAGAAAAGTGTTTTCTTTAAATCAAATCCCTCCCTGTATTGTGAAAGGGATGCTTATTAAGCAAATCCCACCGAGTCTGCAGCTTCAATGGATCTTATTGGCTAAAACTATAGTGAGTAATAAATAATTTGCATACAATAAGAGGAGACAGAAAGACTCCGGTATATTTAACGTGATCAGGTGGGTTTTTTTGAAGTGTAGTTTTATCACCTGAGGAACTTACAAAGTGTTGCAGATGTTACAGAGGCATAATGACTTGACTTAGAAATGGTTAAGTACACAGCGGGACATACAGTACTTGTGTAGTTTTGGCCATCACATCTATCATTTGTGATAACACTGTTCTCACAAAGGTAATTGCTGAGATCTGGGAATGCAATACAATAAGACCCAACTTGTAACACACTAGAACGATCATTTAATACTGCTGGTCAGGCCCAAACAGACTGCGCCGACAACTCCACAGATTTTGAAAAGAAAGTAGAAACGCACAATGTAAACACGTGTTTGTCCCCGACTGCATGTGCACAACAGTTGTGATGATGTGAATGTCTTTTGTCATTTTCCAATCCAAGGATCTGACATTCCCATCTACTTCACACCTTGAGTGGCTGGTTCACCATCTCTGTCTGGTGCTTTTTCGTTCCTTATACAACAATCTGTGACACTTCTCATATCACCTTCTAGAGCTGTTCCCCTCAGGAGCCTATGTGAACAACCCAGGTTAATGTCTGTTAACAAAGATATTGTCTCTTAACATGATTGTGTGAAAACTTGCACCGGTACCCCCCCGGTTATTATGCAGTGGTTGGTCAGTAGCATACATCTAAAGAAACTGAACTTAAAATTAAAAGTTCATATAAAGTGATTTCTTTCACCCTGTTCGAGATTATTTTAGGTTGATTTGATGCATTTTTGTGCTTACCTTTGCTCAATAAATAAAGTTAGCTAAATTAATATTTTCTTGTACAAGCAAAAAAAAAAAAGACAAAATCACTCCACAGTATTCCACAAATTGCCATCCTGAAAAACCACAGAAAACTGTTAAAAAAAAAAATAATAATAATAATAATCTGCAGCTTCCATTTGGGCCTGGTGATGGTTCAGTGTTGTCCAAGGTTTGAATGACAGATTAACTCACCGTGGGGTTTGGTTCATATAAATCATTACTGACACCAACATCACCAGAAGATGGTGATGATGACGTCATAGCCTTGACTCTCTGTACGGTTCGCAGGTAGTAAATCAGCAGGGCGATCAATGTGCCAATCAGCAGTAGGGCCACGATGACGGACGCTGCGATCCCTGCTGCGTTGTCTCTCTTTGAAGCTACAGGGGAGATGGAAAACATTTAGTTTCCTGTCCCTACTAGAGATTCTGCTGAAAATGGGACCAGATTATATTACAATTATGAAATCAAACAAAGAGCACTAAACACAAAGCCAGTTAAGAGACCACTGACTATTATGAAATGAGTATGTAATTTAAAATGCTTGGTGTTTATCAGCTGACTATTACAGAACATCATAGTTGTTCAAAATCAGGTTAGCTCAATCTACCTCTTTTCAATTCTTTTGGAAGACAAGTGGGACTGAAAGCTGTAAACAATGAACCTTAAGGATATACAGTGCTGAAAAACATGCAAAGCCACTGTAGGATAGAACTTCCCCTCTTACTTGTAACTAAATCTGGGACTCTGTTAGTGCAGTTGACCCCGACGGTGTACTCAATGTCATCTAGAGCCACAACACCTGATGTGCCTCCGATTCCCTCAAACACAATCTGGTAATAACGAAAGAAACAAACAAGACAACAGCAGAGATGGTAGTCAGTCTCTAATCTTATTTGTCTGAAGTTTTCTGAATTTTAAAAAAATTCTCCATTGTGCAGATTTTGATATACTGAATAGGTTTACATACTGAAGACTTCATAGGGCTCTGAGTGTTAGAGGCGCTATAATTATATAGAGACAAGAGACAGTATATTTGCAACAAGTCACGGTCTGACCTGGTATTCATAAGTAGATGTGATGTTGACGTCAAAGCGTTTCCACAGTCCTCCCACTTCACTCACCAGCAGCAGCTCATTGAGATGACCTTTGGACAGCCCCCAAACCTTCAGCTGGCTGTCCGCTGCACACGTTCAAAAAAAGTGACTTGTGTTACAAAATATCCAATGGGAAATGCATCACACGCAGCCAGACTACATCTCAGCCTCAGATTTCACAGATGGATGTGTAACATGAAGGTGCAGCTATTTGAAAACTGGACCTGCCCAACCAAAGATGAACCGATCCCAAAACATCATTTAGAACATTGGTCCTTACATGAGTAGTGTTTGTAGGCCCAGAACTGCAGACAGGTACCCTTGGTCGGGGGCAGGAAAGGGCTCAGCAGCTGAGCATTTTGATTGGCTGCCGTCCGATTGCTGCTTGGGAAGAACAGGAAGTGACCTGGCAATAAAAAAAAGAAGAAGGTGGTCCTTTTATACTGGAGTACATTGTTGCTACATTGCTTGCTAGATTGGACTGGATACTGGTTGGATAAACCAACACAAAAAGGACACACAAATCGATATGAAACAAAACAATACACTTTGTTGTCTCCTTGGGGAAATTTTTCTTGGGCAGGTGCAGTTGCATTGCAAGATATTGCACAGTAAAAATAATTGTACACAGTAAGATCAACACATAAAATATCCTGTAAAATATAAACAATATAAACATCAATTTAAAACACACCGCAACATGTATCAGCTCTTAAGACATTAAAGAGATTATGACTTCCATTACTTAGAACATATTGCCCAGCAAAACATCATGAGTGTTCACTCCTCTACTTCTGTCCCTGTTCGTCTCTGTAGTTTACCTTTCTCTGTGCCCAGAGTGTGGTCTTCAGGGGGAGTGGAGTAGTGCTTCTCAACCTCTGGACTCGTCAGCTCCCAGTCCAGTTTATCCATTTTTATGTTTTGAGTGTTGCTCCAGCTGCACATCCCTCTCTCCAGGCCGCACTTAGAACCTTAACACAACAAAATGGACACAAGTAGCTACAACTTTGCACTGTTGTTTAGACTGTGGGCTTAGTACATAACATGTGAATAACAGTGAATATGCAAATGCTAATCTCAATAATTAGTATACGCTTTCTGTTGACTATTGTTCAGCATATAAAAATTAACTATACGATTCAATGCCAGTAGTACAACAATGTAACAGTGAGAAAAACAGTTAGGAAAACAAACAAAGAATGAACAAATGAACTGGAGGTATGAAAATATTTTGTTTATTTGTTATTTTATTAATTGCTTACAAGTAAATTTTGCAGGACGATTAAAAATAACTCAGCAAAATCTCTGAAAAACTGGTACTGCAGTGATTTATTATTGGACTTTAATAAAGCTGTCAGACTCCCAATAGAAAGACTAAAGAAGAATGGTCAAAATTGAGGCTGCAAAGGCTGAAATATTCTGACATCATGGTGCCGCTCACTGCTTTATTTCCTGTCTCTGTGCACAGTGCAACATACTATCTGCACAAATACACACTTAAAAACAGCTCCTCTCTCTTTGCATCTCTATCTCTCATCTTATGGGGACTAGGCATGAGTATAAGATGCAAGTGATGGAAACATGATATTTTAAAGTAATGAGAAGCACCCTTACTCTCAAGTATGGGTCATGCTCCAAAACACTGGGACAATGGATTCTACATCTCTCACAAAACAACACCATGGGGTCTTTTGTTAGACTTTCCCTGCCTGGTAAATGCCCATGTCTTTCAAAACCCACGCATAAATTGTTAACACAGCCTTTCTTTTAAAAATCTGTAATCTTCTTGCAGCCTCAGAGTTATTTTTTGTCGATTAGAAATCTCTCCCCAGACCAACAGAAGAAACTGCTTTCACAGCCTGAAATCATACAGTATTTTCAAAAAGAACATTCAGACTGATCTGAAGGTCTGTTGTGTTTCTCCTTAATTTAGTGAGGCTCATACAAACCTTGATCTTCACATGGGTGAGCTGAAAGGAAGATGTCATCAACTGCGACATAAGTGTTTTTGCCTCCAGCTCCAACCACCTCAAACTCCAACTGCAAAAGCAGAATCAAGCACAGAACCATCTGGATTTAAATGACAGGCATGGGATCCTACAGTGCACACTAAAATTCAGCAGTAACAGTTCTCTGTCCAGCAAAGAACTGTTACTCTTCACCTGGCCCCACCACTGGGACCAGTTTTCCTTACTGGGACCCTAGCTGGAGCTATTGCTCCTGACAACACAGCTCCTAGGAGCACAAATAGGCAAACCCCTCCACGACATTCTCTGAGGGATTTTTAATTCATTCATGTTTGATGCATAAAATATTTAACTGTATCATTACTTATCACTTGAAATGTTTACAATTGGCCTTTTCCAGCCTCCAAACTTTACCTGCCAGTCCACAAGGGCGCTCGAGATGTTGCCATAGCCGTGGCGCCAGACATCTCCTTGGTTCAAACTGTCAGAGAAGATCTTCACCCTCTGTCCTTTAACCAGCTTCATATACACCGTCAGAGAACCTGAAAAGTACAAACAGTTAAATTGTGTTGTTGCAGAATTTTGTTGGTGCATGTTTTGTGTGTGGTGTCTCACCAGGATTCACTCCTCCGGTCTGGTACCAGAAACTGACACACACTGTCTTGGTGGTTCCTTGGCGAACAGGGGAGGTGAGGACTGTGGCACCTCCAGAAGGAAGGATGTTTGCGCCAGTGTTAGCCATCATGTAGAAACCTGAGCACATGTCAGGCAGAGAAAGATCATAACTCACCATGAGAGTTTACAGTGTGCAGATTGAAATATTAATATTTAATGGGATTCTCTCTCACCCAGTTCAGTCTCCAGAGTGTGGTCAGTTTTAGGTCCAGTTGTCGTGGTGGTGTGTCCGCTGCGATGGAGCCAGTGAACTTTGCCAGAGCTGCTGTACCCACACTTTTGGCCTTCAAAGGAACACAGCCTTGGCATGGCGCATGGATGGGCCACAAACGCCACATCATCAATGGCCATGCGCCCATCAAAACCAGAGCGAACTGCCTCAACCATCAGCTGTTAGTAGGTTGCAAAGGGTGAGTATGAATGGAAAAAAGATTACAGTTAAGGCTAAAGTGTTTTTGAATAGTAGGGGACAAAGACTCCTTAGAAGTACTTAACTTAAACCTGCAGGAATGTTCTGTTTTGCCACTATGGGGGTAGTTTCTCTAAAACCCCCCCACTTTCACTGCTTCACTGTAACTCTCCTGTTTCTTGTCATTCATTTTTAATATGAGAATGCTTTGTGACATTCTGTGGATTTGGAGACATTGTTTAGTAATGTCAGGCTGACTGCACTTATTCCATACCTGAAACGTTGTGAGCTGGTGTGGTACTGGGCAATGTGCCTCATGCCACATGTTGCCATGAGCCCCGCTGCGGGTCCAGAGGATGGTCCCGTCACTTCTGTTGTCTAACAGCTTCACATTCAGAGCACCTGAATGGGATCAGTAGGTGGGAGAGGAGGATGTGAGAAGACAGTATCTGTCACTCTGTGATTAACAGCACAAATCTGAAAAAGGTCCCTCAGGTTTTCACAGACAGAATAATATGACTTCTAAGACTATATCACTTTTATTTCACATTCAGCTATTATCTTTAGATATTTGTTCCCTTTAAAACATGTTCTCAGCTTTCCATTCAGTCTCATCGTCACCTGTGTTCAGCCCATAGAGTTTGTAGAAGAAGGACAGGCAGTAATCTGTAGGAGTTGGTGACTGAGGAAATGAAACTAAGCGTCCGAACAGACCGCGCAGAGAGGGACTCCACATGTCCACAACAAGGCTTGTGCCTGGACATCAACAGAGAGACCAGAAGAGAAGTTAGATGATAGAGTTTTAAGGCATCACGAGTACAGCAGTGATACTTTATGTAGTGCAACTTTAATGTATTTTCTTGTAATACACTTTATGATTTATAGTGGGTATTATTTATGCAAGGTATGAGCTACATGCTATGTTGATTAGTATTCACTCATTAAAGGGCAACACCTGTGGTGGGAACTAAATATGTAAATACATTTGCTCAAATACTGAGGTACAGTGATCAAAAAGCAAAGATTAGAGAAATTGCTTTTTTAAATTGAATACAAATTTACATAGCAGAACTTCTTTTTTGTTCTTTCCTACCTTAATAAATCACCTCACCCCTGGGCTATGAACTGGTAGACTACACTGCTAAAGCTGTATATGAAGTATTTTAAACTGTTGCACACCACCTCAACCAGCTATAGAAGTAAAATACTACCTACATATTCATGTACCAGTATTAACAATTTAATTATGTCATAATAATTTGCAGAGATTATTTTTTGTGCATAATGAGTACATTTACTTTTGATACTTTAAGAATTAAAAAATAATACTAGTTCTGTATTTTTACTTAAGTGAAATTTTGAAAACAGGATTTTCACTTAATGAATTTTTTACACCTCTGTGTCAGCGACAGCTGCAGCTGGAGGAATTGTGCTTTTGGATCCAGCCTGTTCTTGTGAACCCGATATGTCAAGAACAGCTTAAGGGCATTTTTTTGAATTTGGCACAAGTATCCCCTTGGATTCAAGGATGAACTGGTTACATTTTGCTGGTCAAAGGAAAAGGTCTTTGACCTCACGTCTGCCCCATTTCTGTGAATTTGACCAGTTGGCAGAGGAATACAACTGTGAAGCTATTATTCTAGTTAGATTGCAGCGTCTGTACTTTTGAACAGAATTCGAATAATTCTTCTATCACTGCACAAAGCTGCATTTGATCTTTCTTCCAGAAGAACCTCATGTTTTTGTCTTTGAAGCAATTTAGACCAGTGCGTAATACAGCTGCTAATAGAGGTGGGGCAATGTCCTTGTTCTGCTCATCACAAGTCTTGATCAACCAACCGCAAGTACAAACTGCAGCTTTGTGTTTTGATTCATAAACCCTTAACCAGATTTAAGATAATTTATGTAATGCTATAACATTTGTATTTATTACTTTCAATCAAGCTCTAAATATTTGGAATCAGAGGTGTGCTTGGTGTGCTAATGCTATAATTATATTTAGAATTAAAAAAAATATATATTAGACTACATGCAACACAGCTGACACAGTGTTTTCACTGTGATCCCATTTGGGTCTCTAAAGTGGTAATGCATCTGACAGAAGGTAGACACTTATAACAACTATTAATTAATTGCACCAGACCTTGACTACAAAATAATTTATACAAGTGAGGCCAAAGTATGGACATATGTCTGGGATGCTGCCAACTAGGCCATAAACAGACTTATGTACTGTATATCTGCATACAAAGTTTTATTTATTTGTAATGACATGAGCTCACCAATCCCGATAGTATGGTCCGACCCATTGAGCAGCGCCCAGTCAAAGTTGTCACCCTTGTCCTGATACCATCCACAAAGTCCATCTTCAAAGTTACATGACAGTCCTGGCCAAACATACATAAATAAACCCGGTAAAAGTGTTAGACATTTCCAGATAAAATATTAGTGTGCATTATGCAGTATCTTGTATGTATAGGGTATGAGGGTTACCTGTCGGGGATGATGGAAAATAGTCAGCGTGACAGGTGATGAAGCGAACATTTTTCACTTTAATCTTGGAGTATAGGTATAGTTTCACTGCACGAGCTTCAAATGCCAGCTGGTAAAGTACAATAGCAAAATTCTGTCAATTCAATCAGTCCCACAAGATGCAGCTGTTTTCTTTCAGCCAACTAAAGATGGCAATCTGAAATGACATATGCTATCACGTGTCTTTTCCTGCAATGCAATGCATCACAAAAATGAAAAGGTCTATTTGGTTTAGTTAATTTCACGTTTTCATATTACCCCTGGGTATTTGGAAACATACAGCCTGCAGAGGTTTCAAATTTTGACTTCCTATTTATTATTTTTTTGGCTGATATCTCACCATAAAACCAAAAAAACATAAAGATGACAATTAGTTACCACTTGCAATGTCTGTTTGTTTCAAAGAAAAATAATAATGCTTGAGGAGAATCTTATTACCAGTTCAACAACTTCAAATGTAAAAATTATGACTATATGAGCAGCAATAACTGGGGTAAAGTCCTACCCTGAAAAAACCTGACCTGGAAGCGATGTTTCCTGGCTCCAATAGGTACATTGATGTGTTTCCACGCCTCTTCCCCTGCTCCTGTCTTCCCGCCGAATTCCCACAGTTTGGGCCCTGTGCCCAGCAAGCTGTCAATCACCCTGACTGACAGCTCACCTGCAGCAAACAGTCATATTAAAGTTGTGCACTCTGGGAAAAGATAAGGAGTAAAAACAAAAAAGAAAGAAAAGAAAAAAACATGATGGATAATAATTTAGATACCAATGTGATCTGCATTCCCTGTTAGTGCGAAATCAAAGCTGAGAGTGCAGGCTGGCCCGGAGGGGCCGAGGAGAGGCGTCCGTGTCTGAGCCTCAGTCAGCTGCTGGCCTGGGGCCTCGGCCACATACAAATACTCCTCTAAGAAATATGCATGAGACACATAATGAAAAGCTTTGTTATTTTTGTAATTATTCACTATTCATAAATCACTAATTGAAGAGAGTGGTGTAATGATAGCGAGCGGTTGTACCTTTGGATGTGGAGTTTTTATATAGCACCCAACCTTGACTCCCAATGCTGGTGTCAGTCCAGCCTGAGCTGCCCTCAGTGTAGAAGAAATCCCCTGCACATGATTCATAGAGACATAACACACAACAACGATGGAATGATGCATTACTGTTGTATGTTTTATGTTGAGCGCATGATCAGGGATGACTTTAGCATATTTTGGGCCCTAAAAAACAAACAAAACATTCACAGTTACAAAAATGACTCACATGAGTGTTTTCTAACCTACCACCACTTTGGTTAAGTCAAAACAACTAAAACTACTTGGTAATGTTTATAACACCACTGTGATCAGGATTAAGAGAAACCAGCAATCAGACTGACCTCATAAGGGTTTTCGTGGAGTTTTTAAAATCCCTTTCTTAATGTCCTGTTTTATCATCCTTCTAAATCAAGTCTGCTTGTTACCTTCTCAAAAAAAGCAACATTTTTAGAATATGTAGTTTTCAGCTGATGATAGCATTCTATAATTTGCTCTTTATGGAGGCCACCGTGCTTTACGTGTGCTTTGGCTGGCAGTGATAAAACCATAACAAGTCAAATAAAACTGAGTAAACCGGATAAAGAAACTCACCACATTTGGCTTCATCCTCTGATCCTGCACAGTCAAGGTGAAAATCGCACATCTTGTCCGGCACAGTGCATGGGTGTTTAGGAGGTTTAGGGAATTTTGTTACTGAAATATTCCCTGTTCAAGAAGAGCATATGAGAGAGCAGATTTTAGTGCACTGCAGAGGATAATTATTTGCAGATGTAGAATCAAATTTTTCCTAAATTTGAGACAGTTAGAAGATTTACCAGATGATAAGCGGCAACCAGGAGACAACATAATGCTGTCGATAGCAATGCCACCATATGTAAAGTTCCTGATTGCTGCCATTATGAGAATCTATAATAGGAGAAAATTCAATAGAGAACAAACAAGGGAAGAGGAGGGGATAATGTGAAATTAAATTAAAACTTCATACAAACACAAAAGACTAAAGCTCTGACTCATTAGTTTCCAAGGTTGTCTGACTATTCAATTTTGTAAAAAAAAAAAAAAAAAAACATATACTGTATATACAATTTCAAATGTGCAATTTAATACACCAAAAACACAAAGGCCCTAATTTGTATAACAATCATTATTTTGTCAGTTAAGAAGTCAACATTTTGTGCTTTCAATCATTACCCCTTTCTTATAAAATGCAAAATTTTATTTTAAAACAAAACTCTAGTAAACACAGTTCACAAATATTTCTGCAAACAGAAACATGCAGAACAGAATTTCCCATTATTCATGAATCTTTAGTATCAATATCTCTGTTTTAAAGATGTTACACTGCGGGCTACAACTAGCATCATTATTATGGGTATATACTCAAGTACGCACCTGGAAAGGGGAGCTGGTGACAATCTCCACCTCTGCCTTCACCCAGACATCGCCCAGGGCTCCGCCCCTCTTCCACACTGGATAGATGGTACGATCGACCACCAGCACGGTCAGACCGCCCGACCTTGGCCCGAACTGGTGGGTGTACATCACCATCTGCAGCAGGCACATACAGACCACTGGTCAAATTAGGTTCCAATTATGTCATGTCAAACTGATTGCTCTTCTCTCTTCATATTTCACCTTTTGGTCATGTAGTTAATTTCAACTGCCACACTGATGATACTGAGCGATGTACAGATACGTGACCTGTCTCAAGTCATTAATTTAGAGGCCTGCTTGTCCGCTGTGAAATGCTGTATGCCATAGAATATCATGCTCCTTGTTTCAGATCAATCTGAGGTCCTGGTCACTGAGCTGGCCCCACGTAGACACCAGTCTGATCAGATGACAGTAACTCTTGGCAACAGTGTGACTTCTCAAAGACTGATGGTCAAGAATCTTGGTGAACCTAGTCTCTTTTGAGCAGCACATTCAACATGTCCCTACGACTGGCTTTTCCACTGTCATAACACAACTGAATTTCAGGCTATCTATTGCAGATGCAGAGACCCTGAGTCATTCTTTTGTGTCTTCTCAGGCCTGCCACATGCTAGTACTAAAAGTCGTCAGATGGTTCCAAATGACAATAACCCTCAGTGCAATACCTGTGTATATACACATTGTACAGATTATACAGACTCGTACAGGTCTCTAGTACTCTGTTTTAAGTACTCTATTTTTATCCCTAATTATCTCATTTCAATGAACATTCCTTTGTTGTCTGCATTGTTTACTGTCTGTTTATACTGCTTCTTCTGCATTGTTTGCACTGTTTGTTGATGTTAATACTGCTATCTTGTTATATTACACAGCCTTATGCTGGTCTACTGTCTGCACATTGAGAGCTGATGTACCAGAGTCAAATTCCTCATGTGTCCAACACACCTGGACAATAAACTGATTCTGATTTTTTTTTTCTGATGCTGAAGCTTTAATTCGCTCTCCATCTGTGTCAGATCAGACTTTAAAGTGCTGCTAATGACATACAAAAATCCTCAATCCCAAAACCCTCTGTGTTTGCTTCCCTCTCCAGATGTGATGAAAAATGTGTTTGAGTTTGTTTCAGGTATTCGTTCAATCTGTCCTTGTTCTAGGTCTCTATGGTGGTCTGGTGGTACTTGTTGCTTGATGTTCTTTCAGATCATGTTCTTCATATGTACTATATGTTTGTCACACTTACTGTCTATACTGTAACTCTATTATGTTGGTTTATTCTGTATACACAACCTCTATTGCATGTCTGTCTGTTCTTACTGTCTATACTGTAACTATTATGTTGGTTTATTCTGTACACACAACCTCTATTGCATGTCTGTCTGTCCTGGAAGTTGCTTTTCCTGAGGTTTCTTCAATTTTTCCCATTCTAAGTTCTTTTGGGGGAGTTTATCCTTATCCATTTTGAGAGTGTAAGGACAGAGGATGCTCTATGGTGTACAGATTGCAAAGCTCTTTGAGACAAATCTGATTTGTGATATTGAGCTATATAAACAAAATTTGACTTGACTGAGTACATTACTGTGAAACTGAAGTAAAATCTGACTGAGGAAGGACCAAGCTTCAGACTCACCTTGCAAGGATGTGAACTATTGGTGAGTTCAAGAACAGGACTTTGGAAAGCAGCCCAGTCTCTAGAGAGACCACCGTCAGGTACAGTGACATACAGGAAGGCACCTATAATATTTACAGTTATGATATGTTTTATTGTTATTTTATTCATTCATCATTTCCATAATTTTAAAACCTAAGTTACTTGTAACAGTAACACTGAACATGGAAACAATGGTTTTGGTTTCAACTACCAAAATATGACAACCTGATGCACTGTTGGTGGAGTGATCTCTGCCTGGTCCTTGCAGAGGATCTGTCATAGAGATGTTCTCCTGACTCGTCCGAACCCATATCAGGCTGGACAGTGACCTCAGGTCCCAACCACACAGGCCCTCCTCAAAGTCACAGAGCTGGTATCCTTCTGGAGGTGAAACAAATCCACAGCTCAGTTTAACTGTTGATCACAGGTGAGGTAAATGTACTGTGTGTTTCCACTACTCGGTGGGACTTAATGGTAAATAAAAAAAAAACACACCTTTCATGTCTGTTAATGCCTTGTTTCTGTAACGTTAGAGAGAATTGTTGTGGGAGAATTTATTATATCTGCATTATGCCAGTTTAAATATGGGGTTTCTCAATTACCCGCTTTGCTTAGAGTGTTACACATCTCTTTTCATTGGTACACATACTGTTGTTTACCTATCGATGGAGGAGAAATTCAAATTAATTAATGCTGTTGCGGTTCGTCATGCTGTCCACTTTCACATTCTGGCTCGAAGATGTCACGTAGCATTTGAGGTATCATCATTATCAAAAACGTAACTTATTTGTCAGTTTTTTTGTTTATGCCTTGTTCTGGCTTCCTGACTGGTCTTGTGTCGAAAAAAGTGTTCGCCTATCAAGATGTTTTCCCCGTTAACCTCCCTCAGTGGTTGTGGTTAGGATAATGTTAGGATTCAGGTTAGGGGAAACACATCTTGATGGGGAAACAGATTTCCACACAACACTGGCAGCAGAAGTTGTATGTGTTCATGAACTATCCTCTCGTTCTTAGGAAGAGGCTCTCTGGTTACAGACTATTTGGAGTTATAATCGGTGCAAAGCTAAACTAGAGGTACCCAAGATTAAACATTAAATGGCTGGAAATGAGCATGCCATGGGCTTTTTAACCATAGGGGTCGCAAATTAGAAAATGGTACAATATGTTTGACATGATAATCCTGAGAAAGATAACGACATGCAGCTAGAAGAAGAATTTTTTGTTAAACTGCTGCTTGTAAGGCAAGAATAAACACTCAAGTCACAAGAACAGTTTTTCTTAAAGTTGTACAATTAAGTATGGAAGACAATGACTGATGACCTATTTTGTCATTTACAGTAAATATGAGGAGTCATTAATACTGTGTGCACTACAGTTAGAATCCTCTGTTCAAAAGGTTCTCTCAAATCACAGAGTTATGCAGAAACGTCTGGTTTTAAGTGCCACTCAAATACAGACAGTAGTGGTGAGTAGTACGCTCGTATTTCTCTGTTAGCAGTTTTCCTTGGGACTATTTCTTCAGTATAAAGTATTAAAGTGTAGAGAAGCACCTGTGGATGCCACACACTGTATATGTCAGAAAATATGGTGTTTCATTTTAGATTTGGTTGAACCTCTTGTCCACAGTTAGTCTTGTGTTGTCATTACAAAATCTTTTGTTTTGTCAGTTTGTACTCTGCGTTACACATTCACACTGGACAAATTCCGACATATTTAGTGTACTGCGATGTCAGAGAAAGGCCCACCACTATAACTCAGATGAATTTTGATTTCTCACCGCAGTTCTCCTCATCAGTCTTATCGCCACAGTCGTCACTGCCATCGCAAACCTGCCGCTGCTCCACATAGGCCTCGTTCTTACACTTTAGCATGTCTGCTGGATACACTTTACCAAGGAGTGGTACTAATGGCGTGAGGAGACAAACAATTTCAAAATCATCATGATGATTATTAGGGTTACTATGACTTTGGAATTCAACTGTAATAATTTATTTCGATTGTTGGACAGTGGGACACTCAGAACTCCACAGAAAAGTGTGGTTGACACAGGATTGAGGTACTCAAGAGGGACTCACAGGGCAGAGCACAGTCCAGAAACTCCAGCTGGTCTACCGCCACATCTCCTTTTTCCCCCTTGGAGCACTGTGAGTGAAGACGTATTTGGAAGCGTTCAGGAATACGGCCCAGAAAGATGGTAGCCTCCCTCCAGCCACGGACACTAATGGCTTCAGGACGCCAAACTGTGGCCTCTCGAGAGTCTTGGTGAAGGACAGATGCCCACAAGGGTGTAGAGCCCAGTCCTGTGTGACCTAGAGGAAATGTGCATTTGTGATAGCAGCTGCACCAGAAATTAATCTAGTCTAACAATAGATAAAGGTATAGAATACAACAGAGCAGTACTCATACAGTTACAGTGATGGACATAAATTACAAAATCATGTTAAATCCTGTCTTTAACATTGTGTTTTAAAACAAAAGAGAAGCTGGCTAATGCTGGCAGTTTAAACAAACAAGCTCCATTAGTGCAGTGGTTCAGTGCAACTGAAGAGAATGACAGTACAGTCTCTTAGATGTTAACGGTTGTTACCTGAATCCCACAGGAAATATCGGAGACGAAGACGACAAGTTGGTGAGGACTGTTTCATCTCTGGAGAAATTAACACTGCAGAACTGAGAGACTCTGTCCTCACTGCACTGACTGCCATAAACCAGCCTGTGTGATGTGAAGCATATCGCACGTTATGAATGCTGCAGTTTAGTGCACGGTCCTGTTTTATCCTAGTCTGATAATGAGACTGAATTAGTTGCCTGACTGACACCCAAAGCATCTTCTCATTAAATATACAGCTCCTTGGAGCAGATTTGGGTGATAACTCCCTGTGTTCCCTATAGTCATTTGATCAATTTGCATCACTATTTTGTTACATTACAGTTATTTCATGATTTAAACAGGTAGTGTCACTGAGAGACCTCGGCACAAGAAGCATAAAAACATTTCAAAAACACAATGAATTTCAACAATAGAGATTTGGATTTGACTGGGCCCCTCTGTTTCAGGTTAATAAGTCTAGTTGGATATCCGACTGCAGGAAAAGTCCTCCCATGTTTACAGTCATTGAGGCCACTGTGCTCCTGGGGACACTCAAAGCTTTAGAAATGATTTTATACCTTTGCCTTGATCTATGCTTCCCTACAGTTTTGTCTACATGAGGTTTTGTGGACCTTATGGCTTGGTGTTGGTTCTAACTTGCAGTGCAAGATGTGGGACCTTAGTTACACAGGTGTAAGTCTTTCTAAACCATGTCAATCATTCAGTTCAACACACGTGGACGGTAAACAAGTTCTAAACACATCTCAAGGCGAACTGAAGCAAACAGGATGCACCTGACAGGATTGGCACAGCAAAGGCTCTGTGGCAAATTTCAGTTCTTTTTTTTTTTTATTTTGCCAGAACTTGACAGTTTCATTGACACAATAAGGTGTACAAAAATGGAGCCAATGTACTGTCATGACATTGCCAAAGACATCTCAAATTTTTCTTTTTCTCCACAACCCTTAGTTCTTGACTTTACAACTTTCTATTACAAGATTCTATTTTTGTTGTTTATTGAAGATTTTATACATTGTTGTCTAGTTTTATTACTGTATGTGTGTTTATAGTCTTGTAATGCCACAGTCAAAGAGATTTTAGAATGGTATAATAAAACAAAACTCTACTCCAGCTTCCTCCCACAGTCCAAAGGCATGCAGCTTAGGTTGACTGATGACTCTAAAGTGCCTGTAGCAGTGAGTGTGTGTTGTTATTTGTCTACATGTCATCCCTGTGATAGACTGGTGACCTGTCCATGGTGGACCCTGTCTCTTGCCCACTGTCAGCTGGGATCGGCTCCAGCCCCTCAGTGACCCTGTTCAGGATAAGCTGTATAGATAAATGGAACTTTAAAATTCTGCTGTTTCTGTCATTTAGCTCTGACGCCGACAAGTAAAACAAGAATGTAAAACACCATGACCTTTCTTACATGTTTTGTTTACATCACTCAACACAGCTGTACAAGTGTTATTTAGGCAGTTATACAGTGGGGCAAATAAGTATTTGATACACTGCCGATTTTTCAATACAGATTACAATAATAAACATAATTAAGATTATGAAAAGTGTCAAAGTTCTCTTTAGAGGCACTGTAGATATTGTACCATGGGGCATATTAGTATTTGATACTCCGCCGATTTTTCAAGTTTTCCCACTTAGAGATTGGACAGTTCTGTAATTTTCATCGTAGGTACACCTCAACTGTGAGAGACAGAATCTACAAAAAAATTCCAGTAAATCACATTGTTAGATTTTTAAATAATTTATTTCCATTTTATTGCATGAAATAAGTATTTGATCACCTACCAACCAGCAAGAATTCTGGCTCTCACAGACCTGTTAGTTTGTCTTTAAGAAGCTCTCCTATCCTCCACTCATTGTCTGTATTAATTGCACCTGTTTGAACTTGTTACCTGTATAAAAGACACCTGTCCACACACTCAATCTATCAGACTCCAACTTCTCCACTATGGGCAAGACCAAAGAGTTGTCTAAGGACACTAGGGACAAAATTGTAGACCTGCACAAGGCTGGGATGGGCTACAGGACAATAGGCAAACAGCTTGGTGAGAAGGCAACAACTGTTGGCGCAATTATTAGAAAATGGAAGAAATTCAAGATGACTGTCAATCTCCCTCGGACAGGGGCTCCATGCAAGATCTCGCCTCGTGGAGTATCAATGATCCTGAGAAAGGTGAGGGATCAGCCTAGAACTACACGGGAGGACCTGG